ATTTTACGAAAAAAAGTTATTCTTCATAAAAATTTATGCATGGTCTAACAGAAAATGCAACCACCAGATAGCAAATTTTATCAGTCGGTTTTACAAGGTTTGTCAAAAAATATAATTTTGCTCTCAAGATAAAATACCTTTATTTTCGACAAACCCTGTATACGACTGATAAAATTTGATATTGAAATTTAGGTTTTAGACCATGCATAACTTTTTATGTAAAGTAACTTTTTTTCTAAAATTAATAGACCATGCAATTGTTTATGAAAAATAAGTTTTTTTTTTAATTCTTAAAAAGGTTTTCCGTATGCCGATGACGCCAACTTACATATAAATGAGATTAAATTTTTTGAAAATATTTTTTACTGATGCAGATCTAAATAAAGTATTGTTGGTAAATAAGGTACATTTTTCTTTTTTTATTTGGTTCTTTGGCTGTAAGACCTTTCGGTATATACATGGTATTCCATTAAGAATGGGAGCAACTGAAGATTAATTGATTAGAAATAAGCCGATTAAACGAAACATCCGTAGGTAAAACATTACTTGTTTCCGAAAAACAGAGTTTTAAAGTTGAAAATCAAAAATTATAAATAGCTACAATTTTTTTATTACTCAGTTTAATTTTACTAAATTCGGCAAACGTTATTGGTGTAATAAAATACATCTATCAGCAAAAAATAAGTTAAATAAGCTTTGCCAGTGGCGTACGTCATGGGCCAGTAACATCTTTTTCCTTCTAAATTTTAGTCCACGTCCACTTTTGATGTTTTTTAAATAAAGTTGAGTTAGTTTTTGAGATATTCGCACATATTAGAAAATTCTGTAGTTTTTAAATTTCGATTTTTTTTTTATTTAATTTCTAAGAGTACATTATTTATTTTAAAAACATCAAAAAATTTAAAATTTTATGTCCAAATAACATTTTGGATAGTGACGTAAAATTTAAGAGGTATGCGGTATTACGTACGAATGCTGTACGCCACTGGAAAAGTTAATTAAGGTAACTTATTTTTTTGCTGATAGGTGGATAATTTGACACCAAAAACGTTTGCCAAATTTAGTAAAATTGTTGTGAGTAATAAAAAAAATAAAGCAATAAATATTTTTTGGATTTTAACACCTTAACTCGGTACCAAGAAACATTTTATCTAAGCATGATTTGTTTAGTTGTCTTATTTTTAATCAGAGAATCGTCAGTTGTTCTATATCCCATTCTTAACGAAACACTATGTATAGTATAAGTGGTCCCTACGTAATGATACGAAGACCGTTGTCCTTTGTTGATTGGACACAAGAATGAACTACTAAACAGCGTTGGGTTTTTAGTAGCAACAGCTTGTACTGAAATTCAGATCGTGATTGTACCAGAACGTACTAGATTTGGCGATAAATTTCAAATGAGAACACAAACTCATTTTAAACCAAAAAATAAATAAAATGGGTATAACAAAAATATATTCTTACGTTGGTAAATAAAAAATTTAAAAAGAAACCAAAATAAACTTTGTTTTAAACAAAAAAATATAAATTAAAATACGTAAAACAAAAATATATTTTTATATGGTTAAATAATAAAATTTAAAAATAAAAACAAACACTTATTTTTTATAGAAAAACAAATAAAATAAGGGTAAAAATTAAAAAATATTTGTTATGTCAATAGATTTACAATAATTAATCTATAATAGACTGTAAGTGTAGTATTCTTTTTAATAAATAATTTACCGTAATTAACAATGTTTAAATTTATTTACTAGAACATGAAAGTGTAGTCGATATTTATCAGGTTTTTAAATTTCCCGCTGGGTTATTTGTTTGATATCGATGATAGCGACACATAGTGGGCCAGATGTTAACTGCGTTCGAGCTGGTGGTTGTTAAGCATATGCTTAGGAGCGTATCTTATATTTATGTCCCTTATATGAAGACTCATACTCCCTTATCTCTTACCCATTATTTTCAAAGTATGGGAGCACTCATTTCTCTCAAGATTCTCATCAGAAATGTCGTACGTCAATGTGGAAACGCTGTTTTAAAGGCCTCGAGGATTAAAATTCTTACGAGAATTTGTATTCCCTCTAAATAAACCAAGAGAAACAATCTGTGAGTTCACACTGGCCCCAAGGGCCCTAAAAATACTGTTTTACGTTGACATATTATGACATTTCTCTTGAGAGGAATGACTTTTCTCGAGTTTGAAAATAGCCTCCCTGCATTGCGTTCGGTTTGCCACGTTCCTTTAACTCCTTTAACACTTTTAACTCCAAACGACTCTTTTAGCGTTCGGTTTAGTCCGATTAGTGACAGTTTAACACGCTTAAATGTCATTTAAAAGCACCCTAAAATTTGTCCCGCTCCAGCCCCTGACTGACCGAACTCGCCTCTGGGGCTCGATTCTCGAGTTCATTGGAAAATTTTCCCATGGGAAAAGATTCCACTACTTATATTCCCATGGTAATAGGTTATGCAATTCTCGAACTTGTCGGAATAGACATTCCCATGGAAATAATAGTTTCACGTATGTCTGATATTAAGTTCACGAATATTTCGAAATAACCAATAACATTAAAGATATTTTAAAATTTACTGTTGGTATTATTTGTATTTGTTGTGGTTTTTGGGTAACCGATTACCTGCCGAGCCTCTGCGCTGGAGCAGATGCCGTGCCGAGCAATCGCTAGCTTGACCGAGGACAAGTGAAAATATTCGATTATGTATAATTAAAACTTATCGAGTTATTTTTAGTTTTTCTTTTCACATATTGAAAAAAGAAAAAGTAGCTTTTGTATAGAAGAGCAACGAAAGTTTCGAGAAACTATATATATAAGAAATTCTTTCGTTAACGGAAATAATAAAATTTTCGAAAAGGTCTTATTAAATTTACTACAAATTTCTCAATTTGTGTTACCTATTTGCCAGTCCCTTAGCAGCTCCCACAATTTCTAACTAATTTAAGAAAATCAGTTTCTTAGTGAAAGGGGTAAAAATAATATACCCACATAAATAAAATAATATCAATTTATAAATACACAAAAAACATGTTTTAACTACAATTTCACCAAAAATCCAAGATATCCAATAATCTTTGGTTATGTCTTAGTCTTTCGCGTGGTCTTTCGTCAAATTTTCGACTTTAATGCGCAAACTCTAGTACAATTCCCATTGGAAAACACAATTTCCAATGCTCGCAAGCAGGGGAATATTTTCCCATACTTCTCATTGGAAAATATTCCACCGCTTATGCCGAGAATACGAAAACTGAATTCCCATGAGAAAATTTTATTTTCCCATGGGAATAAAAGTCGAGAATCGACCCCCTGGTATAAAGTATCGCATTGGGAGTATCAGAAGTATCTACTGTCTAGCATAGAAATTGGAAATCATAGAATACATTATTCTAGAAGATCCAGCGAAATATTTAAAATGTACTAGATTTAGATACTTTTGTCTTTTGTGGTACTAGCATTTATGAATGGTTGAAATGTACTGAATCTAGTACAATTGTACTAATAAACCCAACGCTGCTACTAAATAAAAGGTTCTTTCGTTCGCTATTGGTGAAGTGTACACCAGTGTAAATTACACCAGTTACACCACTTTATTTACCTTAGTTTACTTCCCTCCTTATTCCTTATATACATGTCGAGTGTAATTCACTCCTGCTAAATAGCTGGTGGAGAAAATATCCACCAGTGGATACCACATCGCCGACAGGAAGGTTTAGTGGATTTTACACCGGGACGAACGAAAGGTTTAGTGTACGTTGGTGTAGTTCATTCCTACACCAGTGGGACGAACGAAAGAACCTAATTATACCGACGTGCCGAATCTAATGCAAAAGTTTTATTTTTATACCTGTTTCATCGAAAATATTTGTCAAGGTCAAGAACTCGTTTAGTTATTATCGCGTAGTAGCTAGGGGTGATGAATTTGTTAGGTATTTTATAACAGTTACCGTTTAGAACTAATAAAATTATTACGCCATCTGTTGAACAAAAGAACTATTAAATATGGAATATTGCTCCATCTGCTGAACAAAAGGATTCTTAATTTATGACACATAAATGACATCTATCAAAATTAGTTCATGTTACGAATATTGGGGGTGGTACTGTGGTCTTAAAGCGACCTCATATTTTTGCAAGAAACTCTTATACCCTTTGTAATCCATCTTTTTTTATTTTTATTTTTTTTTTTTTTTTGTTTAGCGTTTTAATAAAAACCCTTAAATTTCTTAGTTTAATCAAATTGCAGTCAAATTTTTATCTACGTACAACTTTATTTGATCTATTTACATAAATTTAGTCAATTAAAAAAAAACTTTTAGCATTAGCGAGATACATTTTGGATTAAAAAGTGATACCCCTAAATGTCAGCAACACATTATACAGTTTTTCAAAAACTAAGTCGCGTTTTCTTAGCATGCTATGGAAAAAAAACGTCTTGTCATTTATATTGTCAATTTCTGTAACAAACTATTATTGTATTCAAACATTTTCTCAACTTTACCTACGAATATGTCTGTTAGTAGTGAAAGTGATGAATTTATCCACCGGAGATTTTAGAAAAAGCTCAATCAAGCTGCCACACATAATTTGTTACCGTTAAAATACAAAGAAAGGTAGGACATTACCTATCGAAAATTTATGGATTGACGACACAAGCATATTATGTCCTTTATTTAATAAAAGAAAATAAGTGGGCGTAAAAAAAGTATAGTATACAATTCTTGTTACGTAATATACTATTATATGCATATTTTGTCTCTAGAGACAAAAAAATGGTATCTTTTAGTTTAAACCGTCAAAAACTGCGGTTATATTTTGATAACGTAACCGCTGTTTCTTTTATCAAAACTTTTTTTGACTTTAAATTCCACATTGGGCCCCAATTTAATCCACAAATAAACATTTCTATTTGACAGCCGTCAATGTCTCCTATATTCAATTGACGTACTAATCCCCGCTTTCTTTTGTTACAGATACTAGCAAGCAACGATGTCTTGGTTGCTGCAACTCTGCCTGTTTCTCTCGCTGTACGGATGTTTCTGTCAAACAGCCGACGGAGAAACGGAGGTGGTAAGTGCTCCGGAAAAACTGCCCGCCCCTCCGCCGTCCCCGTTGGACGATTGCGATCCCGAGATGATCGGCTTCGAATTGATCACGGGAAACGTATTTTCCGCGCCGGGAAACGTGTTGGACTCCATTCCGGGTACGCTAATGTTGACGGATTGTTTGGAGACCTGTCAAGGGAACGAGAGCTGTCAAAGTGTTAATTACGAGACCGGATTATGCGTGTTGTTTAGCAGTAACGCCGATGCTTTGCCTGGTAAGTCTTTTAGTTTTTTGAAAACTTTTGTAGAAACGGGAAAGCTAAATATACCCATACTTTTTGTAATCAGTTTGATGTTTTACGCGCTCAGGACAATGATATAAAATTAAATCTCTTATAATCACTAGAAATTCATAAATATCAAAAATTTTGAAAATATTTTATTAAGAATATATATCGGTTATAACAGTCGCAAATTAGATCCTTGCAGGACACCTTAAGTAGCCAAAAATCGTTAAAAGTAAACAAGAAAGTAAAATTATTTTAAAAAGACAATCCATATTATAACTTTAACAAATCGTATTATTCTATTAAAGAGTCACGTCGCTTGACTTTAATGCCATAATTCATCTAATGCGAATCCGCAGACGATGAAAATGAGACACAAGATGAAAAGTCATTACGAAACAAACATACTGATCTATTATTACGCCTAGTTACCGGCTCAATACGTTGAAAAAGAAACAACGACTTCAATTACGCAATGATACATCCAGCACTCACTTTGGTTATGGGACTAAAAAGAACCAATTAGAACGGGATACGTCCCGACTGTGGGCGGGATCGATTGACAATTAACACGTAGCAGTTAGATTTTTTAACCTAACATTTTTGTTTGTTAGTGTGTGCCAGTTTTTGTTTTGGTTTTGCTCACGGCCAAATATTTACAGTAATAATCCTTCCTCCATGATTTACAGTTATAGTGTGTGTACATACAATCCATGTACAATCGTGGTTTTGATGTTTGCTTTTACCATAGTTGCTTACCCAAATAATGGATATCGCGCCACTACCCTCTTTGAATGATGAATTTAATGTAAGTACAACATTTTTGTACCTTGTTTCTCTAAGACGAAAATTAAGCCTTTCAAGTAAAAGTTCATATTTGTTTTCTTTTGTATAACTACTAATTAAATATTTTTGCTGAGAAAATTGGTACCTACATGTATGTTCATAAACATAAAGTACAAACAAACTGCTAGGATTTTTGTGTAATTAAATCTTTATTTTTCAGTCAGTTTTTCCACCTGGTTGGGGAACAACAATTATTGGTAAAAAAATAGTAGAGGGTGAAGATAAGTTCCCGAATGTAGAATTGCATTTTTTCATCAATTGCACCAATGAAGAGGAGTTTGGAAAGTGGTTGATGGAGTTTGAAAATTCAACAAGTTCATCATACGTTATCGCCTGTACAGACGTTGAGAATGGAGCTAAATTGAAACTGAAAAGAAGACTAAGGTAATAAAGGTTTTATTATTAATAAAACCTTTGGAAAACACAGATTTTACAGGTTACAAAAATTAGGTAGTAAATTAATGTAATAAATATCACATTTGTTTATGCTCTTATTTATAATTTAGGTTATATTATTTGTTACATGTAGGTTTATTACAGTTTATTATTATGTTACCTGGAAAATTTAATTTTAGGTGTCATCATTCTACACGGTGCACTAAAACCTACAACCCGTCCTTAAAAAACAAAACTAGAAACACCAATTGTCCTTCGAAAATAACTGTAAAGATACATGTTATTAGAAAAAAGTATAGGGGCAAGAAAGAAAATTTCCAACTCTTACAAGAGGCGCCTTGTGAGGTTAAACTTATTTTAACACACAACCATATGACCAATACTGCAGATTCTTTACGGTTTCGTAAAGTTTCTAAGAATGTAAGAGACGAGTTACTAAGTCTTTATAAGAATGGCCATACAGCAGGAACAGCTTTGGAGATGATTAAATGTAACATTCAGCTTACCAGGGATGATTATGTGACAGCTTTGGCAGACCGTAATATATGTCCAACCTATAAATACTGTTATGATCTATATATGAAAGAGTTTAAAGAAAATTATGGACCTATGAAATTTGATACAGAGGCGAAAATGTTTTTAGAAAATAATCTTACACTGTACAATGCTGAAAAAAGAGAAACAATAACAAACATTCTAGAAATGTTTATGGTATGTTATAAACTTAATTAAATGGGTTTGGTTCGGTTTTGGTATTTTATTTGGTGGTTATAATATGTATTTTTTTATTTATCGTTTGTATGTTTAGAAATAATTTAACTTGACAGCAGATATTGTTGAAATTGTATTAGTTCAATTTAATGAACTAGGTATACTATAATGTAAACCTTCCTATTTAGATTTGTAAAATATACCACTAATTAATTATTTTTTGTGTCCCAATTCAATTTATAAATTGGCAACACAAATAATTGAAATTAAATTTGTATAGATTTCTTTAAGGATGTGCACAACTTTATTTTCTAAAGCTTTTCTTAAATTATTTCATTGACTAGAATTATAATCATTTTTAGGAAGTGGCCAAAATCGAAGAGGACGAAAAATTCCTATACAAAGTACTGCTGTAGCTAGAAGAAAAATTAAGAAAAAATCATCAAGACAACTAAAACGATTACGTAATAATACATATGATACAAGTAGATGCGTAATGCCTACTAAATAAAAAATGTTATTAGTTAAATAAACTATTTTTTTAAATTAAACTGCTTATTTTTAAAATTCCTAATGAAATATTTAAATTTAAAAACCGTTTAGGTAATGTAGCTGTAGCATAAAAAGTAATTATCGTAACTGAGGAGTTGGCGGGAAAAACGATCAAATTCGGGGTGGATGGTGCCATCTAAAGATTTTTGTATATAATATATGCCTGGTAAACAGTTGCTGCAAAACGATTAAGATCTCTATAATACACCTAACAGTTATTTATGCAACTAGTGCGAAAAGCACTCTTTTCACACTGTTACATACAATATTTTTCGTAAAATAAATGATAGTAAAATTCTAAAACAAAAGTATTTTCCTTTACACCTTGTAGAAATACCGGCAGTTTTGTTGGAAATTTCCTGTCATAACCGCATCGAATTTTTGTTTTTAATTGTTTGAATTGTCAAGATGATCATTTGTTGGTAATTTTTAGGTGAATTTGTTCGTTGAAAGCTTATTAAACGTAATCAAACGCTTTTAAAATCTGATTTTTATTTTTAGAAAAATGCCTTTAAAAGTGTAGTAATTATTCATCTAATTTAGTTATGTCAAATATTAGTAATTGTGTAATTAATATTTATAATAAATTTTGTGTATTATTTGCGCTTCCTATGAGACAACGCTCGGAAGTAAAAAAAAAACGATTTTCTCAGTTTCAGCATAGGCACACCTTCATCGTTTTCCTCGCCACCTCCCCAGTTACTTTCAAAACGAGCGCGCTTTTATGCCCCGCCTATAATTTGGCGTTCGCGCGCTGTTATTGGCTCTTCCACGTCTCATAGCGGAACTGTGGGCTCGATGTAGTATTGCTTTAATTACAAGGTTTGGAGCTGTCATTCATTACGTTCGTTACCGACCGAGAATTACGTCGGTAATTGTAGCAGAAAACTCACAACTTTGTCATGAATTATACAGTTTTCTGCTCCAAGGGCGTTACTAGTGAGAAAAAAAAGTGTTAACGAAATGGTCCACGTGATGGAATTCGGTCTTCTGTTGTAATGAAGAGATAATGAACAAATATTCTTGGTGGTAACGTTTTTATAGAATTGTCAAAATGGTTTGATTGATTACAAGATGTAGAGACGTGTATCAGTTTATTTTTTGCAACCTTTGTAGAGGGGCTACAGGAGTTCTATGGCAAAATCTGCCATTTTTCCATGTAAATCTCCATAAGGTTCATTTTGCAAATTTTTATCCATATCAAGACGCCAGGTCGCTGAATGGATCGGCTTAAGGGAAGGACGTCTAAGTAATACGTGACACCGCTTAAGGGGAAAGGGTTTAAATATTTAAAACCATTGACAACAGCGACCCGTCGTTATCAACAAGACTAAAAAAATTTAAATTTCTCAAGATCCGATGAGGTACCTATTTTTATCCTAAAAAAAGAGTATATTGATCATTAACAAACCTTTTAATCAACCTCTCTTTTAGGGAAGGAAAATTTCTAGATAAACTAATAGTAGAGAAAGTTATTTGAGTCCATAAGAAAAGCGATAGCCATTAATTCTAGCTTTTTAAAGTTTTTAAATATTGCGTTATTAAAATTTCTGAATAAAGCAGTGCGCTATCAAATAGTCAACATGGTTTTAGATCTTTAAAATTCTCTAGTACAGCACTGTATGAATTTCATGATTAATTGGTTATTATATGGATGATAGAGAGTGCTCCATAGGCATATTTTGTGACCTGAGTGATGTTTTTGATTGTGTAGATCACAATATATATTAATTTCTCAATTATATGATTATGGTATCAGGGGTGTGTGTTTAAAACCACTAGTCACTTTTAAATTTAGAACTGAATAACCCAGAAAAAAGCAAGCAGTGTTAAGGGTTTTCGGGAAATATGAAATAAATTTTGTTGGTACCGATCTGTATTGAATTTATAATGATAGTCCGTCAGATAGTGACAGGTTTATGTGCCCCATTTTCGCATACAAGCTTCGAAGAGGGTTGAAAATTACATCGATTTTAAGTAGAATGAAAGAAAATTTACGAGTAGCTGCTGGAGATAACACATGGAAAATTCGATTTTCCCCTTACAAAAACGAAAGGTTATTTTGTTGCCCATTTTTTCACACAAGCCGTTGTCACTATATGATTAATTAACAAAACTATGTTTCGGAAAACCAAAGGCTTTATTGTTGCCGGTGGCTTAAGGGTTGAAATAAACGCGTAATCTTCTAAGGAAAAATAGATATTTTGCCCGATTTTTCTACACAATGTGCAGTTGGGAGCCGGAAAATTTTTCTGATAAGGAAAATCGAATTTTCCATGTATTATCCCCAAGAGCTACTCGTAAATTTTATTTTATTCTACTCAACATCGATGTACTTTTTAATCCTCTTCGAGGCTTGTGTGCGAAAATGGGGCACTTAAATTGGTCACTATCTGATGGTCTTTAAGTGTTCATTTTATAAAGTGCACAATTTAAAAAAAATGAGGATCAATAATTATTAAATTATTCGGCTATTTGAAAAA